TAGTATATATATATATATATATATATATATATATATATACATATAATAATTATAGTTGTAATAGTTATAAAATAATTTCATATAAAAATATTACAATAGCTATTTTTTTTTAAATAAAAAGAGATGCCATTAACATAATTGATGAGCTTAATAATAATTATTTAATCATTTTATAATTTATAATATAATTTATAAATTTTATATACAAAATATTTGAAATTTTAATTTTTTTTATTTTTGTATATATAATATACAAAATAAAATATATATAATATATAATTTTATTTTTGTATTATATAAATTTTGTCATAATTAAAATTAATTTTCTCTTTTACATAAGAAAAAAATCTCATAATGAAGAATTACCTGTTCAATGTATGCGCCTCGAACGAGTTTAGCACCAAAGTAGAAGTTTTGACGTTCAGCCTGTTCTAGGTCCGTTTTCACTTCATTAAAAGCCTCTTGCAAGTATGTCTGGTACGTATTGAACACCACGGCCTAGGAAGTAGACCATTTGGGTTTAGACCACTGAAAATTTACTAAGTGATAATATCACATCTACAAAGACAAAGCATTTACCTTACGTGTATTGTACTTGCGCATCATCTCCAACGTTAATCGCGATATCGCAGGTTGGAAATACGTTTGTTCGGCATCTATCATTATACGTACGTCTAATTTATCGGCCACCTGTAATAAAAGTTAGCAATTCTGTCTTTGCTAACAAACTAAATTTCTTCTTTATATTTTCTATAATAAGAGATAAAAATATTGAGAGCCATTTTATCTTAAATAACAAAGTATTTCTAAACAACTAAAAATATTAAAAAATAGAAAAAATATTAGTTTGAAAATTTAGACAAAATTTAATAATTTTACATTTTTCATGTTACATTTCTATGTTATAAATTTATATTTTAAATTATAAATTTTTTATTTTTTATAAATATAGCACTCAATACTTTTAACTCAAATATCTTAATTCTTTTTTAATATTAATAAGAAATTATATTACTACATCAAAAAAAGAAAATTTAATTAAAATATATAAAAAATACAACTAATATAATATTGAATAGAATATTTAATATAACATAACAACATAGAAAATTTAAAATCATTCAATTTTGTCTTAAAAAATATTTTATTCTATTTTTAATTGTTTTAAAAATAGCCAATTATTTGTCGTTCCATATTTCATTTTTTTTTATATTTTTATATATTCATACCGTGACGATATTATTGAGACGTCTTATCATATTTCGGAACATTTCCTCTTCTTTGGACGTAAGCTGTGACATAAGCCTAACCATCTTTCCCGTTTTAATATCTGGTACTTGGAACGTTTCACTGAGCTCATAGTTCTCATCTAGAATACCACTCCATGGGAACAAGTGAATGACACTATAAAAGAAAACAAATTTCTTGATTTTAAAGAAGAAAAATTATGTCATTAAAAAACATACATAAAAAAATATTAAAAAATAAAAATTTTAAATTAGGTAATATATATATAAACTTTTATTGGAAAATAAAAAAAAGAATGAAAAAGAAAAGAGAAAAAATAGAAAATAAAAAAAAATGGTAATTTAAATAAAAATTAATATTAATAATAAATGATATCAATATGAATAATCAATATTATATTGATAGGAAATGAAGAAAGAAAAGAAAATAAAATATTAATTTAATTTGAATATTTTTTAAACAATAGCAATTTTCATAAATTACCCTTCTTTATCCGATTGAATTTTTTGTAGAAACTTTTGTACTGTTTCTTCATCTTTGATGTGTGCTTCCTCAAATTTTTTCATAAAATCATCTGGCTTAGCATGATGAGTTAAAACAGCGCCTTCACCACCAACTACGTCCGACATATATTGTCGCGCTCGCATAATTACTTCTGATAGTTGAAGCTAAAAAATATACAATTATTTGAGACACTATTCATTCATTTTCATAAATATATGAATATTTACTATTCAAAGATCATTTACCTATTCAATATTAAATTTTGAAAAAAATTTTATTTGAAAAGTTATATCATGCAATATTGTTGATTATTTTAAAAGATAGAAATTTAACAAAATATAAATTTCAAAGCTGATTACCGTCATAAGAGTACAAAAATTATTCGATCAATATAATATAGCATTAGAAAGTAAAAAAGTTATTTTTTTTATATTTATCAATAAAAGATTTTATTTGTCATGAAAATTTATTTACCAATAATTGTGGACGGCCAAGAGCAGTTAATTTAACAGCGGTAAAGCCAACTCCCATTGAAGCACCTATATAAAAATGAATTGATGAAATAATATTAAACGCTATAATATATGATATTGAAATTGATAGTAAGAAGATTATTTTAGGAAAAACGGATAAAAGGATTAAATAAGGAATTATAAAAGAAAGGACTTTTTCTTCTTACCAATTTTATCTTGCAATCAGTTGAAATTTAGAATTCAAGAACATTAGATTCAGGATTTTCTGAATGATTCACTTGATTCTCTGTAATTAATTTATTTTTTATAAATAATCATAGAACCTTTTTATTATAAGTTAAAAAATAATCTTTGTTTTATATCGTTGAGAAAAAAAATATTATTTTTTTATAATATTTCTTCAATGAAATTTATATTATAAATAAACAAAATATTAAACAATTCTTAGCTATTTTTTAAATAATTAATATATTTTCTTAATTCACAATAAATGAAATGAATAGTCTCTTTTTGTTTCCTTTCATTCGAAGAGACAAAACGATGAATTTATCATTTTATAAAAATAATATTAAGCAATCATTTCAGACTATAGAGTAACTACGCAATTCGAACGATGAAAAAATCTTTTGGGTAAAACACCGTTAAGTCACGTTATTGGTTGCATGATTGAATAAAAGATTCTCTAGAGATATTTATAGATAGTTTTCGAGGTCTTGACTTGTAACAAAATTTCAGAATTCCATTGTTAAAAATCTATTTATCATATTCAAATCAATTTTTAAAATTTTTATTAACTATATTTCTAATGTAATTAAATAAAAATTATTATAATTTTTTTAAAAATATATAATGCATAAATATAAGAAAACGATTAAAAACAATTGATTAGCTTAATAACGCAATTAAACTAATTATTATTTAGAAATTTTAAAAATCAATATAATATATACAATATAATAATCCAATTAGTTATTTTTTTTTTCTAAATTATTGTAAATTAATCAATATGGTCAATATTCAATATTTTGTATTGAATTCTTTACGTTAAATTGCAATGATTTATGAATTACCAATAAATTTTTTCGCGATAAGCGTTAATCTTGAAAATTTATAACGCTTATTTTATGCAATAATTTTATTATGCAATCGATCATAGAAAATTGAAAACAAGTACGAGAAAAGTTGAAAAAAATGTCGCTTTGGATGAATTAATCATTCAATTATAATCAATTTTCTTTTTCTTTTGCATTCTATGAATTTCAAAAGAACGTATAAAACTTTACTGTGTATATTCGATTCGTATCGTTGTGAAAAAAAATTTTTTCTACTTGAAAAAAAGAAAAGCAAAATTTTAATAACTGACTCACCAGCTACAGACTCAAGGCATCTGATGAATATGTCCATATTTCGTTCACAATTAGCTTCGTTAAGATAAAAGTACGTTCTTGCCGAGGATACCTTATACCGACGATCCGCGAATGGTTTTGCGACATGATACTTTTTTAAGGGACCTTCTCTTTTTTCATCTCCAGCTTCTGATACGGAACCTCTGTAAATCACAATTATTTATATCATATCGATTAATTTTCATTTATGATTTTTTTTTTATAAAGAGATAACAAAGATAAAGATATCAAAGTTTTATCAATTTCTTCTTCTATTCTTCCTAAATATCAATTCTATTCCTGAATAATAGTTGTCGAATAGTTAAACATTTCTTGAAATATTCTTATTTACTATAGAATATATGATAACACTCGAATTTCTTTCTTTTATTAAAATCATCTTTGTTAAAACGTTAAGATATTATATATTTTATACGGTTACAACTAACAATGAAAATTACAACTAACAATGAAAATAAATTTTAGACCGAAAAAAAAAAAATAAATAAATAAATAATAAGGGACACGTGTGTAATAATCGTGTCTTATAACATATAATATAATGAGAATATTTTTTTTTAATTAATTTCTTTTTTACATCAGACACATACTGCATTTCTCGTCGTTCCGCTTCCTCTTGCGAGATATCTTCTTCGACGGAATAATCGAGAATCGGTTTCACGCCGAATTGGCGTAACCTATCTAGGACAGGAGTGATTTGCTGCTCGTCTTCGCCGGCGACAAAGTGGCCGTAAAAAGTTGCTCTCATAAATTTTGTAAAAAGTGTCTCCCCAAGTATTTGCTTGGCAAATTTCATCAACTGGAACAAAATGAATCATGAGAAAATTTTTGATCCAATTAACAGATTAAAAACAGGTGAAAAACAACTATATCACTACAAATTATATTTTCAACAGAAAAATTCTACGGATGATTTGTATGAAATTGTTTTCTTTGAAACAGATACAGTTCTTTTTACTCTCGAGTAGATACGATAGATTCGTATCCCATAAGCTATATAGTGTGGATCAAAATGATTTTCGTCCCTTTTTTTTTTTATTATATATTGGAAAAAGTAGCAATATTTTTTTGAAAAGAAAGATTTTTGTGAAAAGAAATTTAAAATAAAAAAAAAAAGATTCAAATTTAGAAAATGAATTGCTACGAATAAATTTTGTTGAATAAAAATATAATAGATTAAATTGATATCTTAATTAAACTAAGAAAATATAAAATTTTTTTTTTCAAGATATATTATGTCTGTTCGAAAAGAAGAACCTTCATGACCTAGTTTACCACAAATTGCTATGCATATCGCTTCTACATTCTGCTAAATTTATTATGTATTCTTCATACTTTTGTACTTTTGATAAAATTTGACGAAAACGAATTGTCAAAAAATATTTATTACTCAAGTACGAAATAATTTCAAAAATGTAGTATAATAAATATATAAAAATGATATAATTCATCAAATTACAAATTGTATTAAAAATCAATTATAATATCTATTTTGTATCTCTACATAAAATCATATGAAATTGCAAAATACAAAAACGATCATAAATGTCGAATTGAAAATAGTGATACTAATCTGAAAAATCATAAAAGTGATATACTACACATTTTATTCTCTGAAAAATTTGCTTGCGAAATTGTTATATAAGGTTAGAAATTACATCATGAATAATATTTTACAATGATTATTATACTGTGGTTAATTTCGCAATAAAAATTCACGTTTCAGTATGTTGAATTATCATAAAAAGTTGTTTGGTAAAAATTACGTGTCATGTCATTAGACTATATTTTTTCGAAGCTATTTAATTTCAATCGGTCAATTTTTCATAATGTTCATAATAATATTTCTAAAAATGATAAATAAATAATAAAAGATAACGAATAAATAATAAAAATTCTAAAATAATAACATAATAATAATGGGTTCAAAATGATTATGTTTTTTGAAATTACAAATTTTTTTCATTTTTACTATGCTTTTTTACTTTCCTTCTTTTAATTAAGAAATATATATTTAATACTTTACGAATATAATTCGTATTTATATGTGAATTGAAATTTTTCTGTATATTAAGTTTTGACTTGAAAATTTAAGTCTAAGTCCAATTACTGAAACTGTTTAGAATTCCAATTGAAAAAAAAATGTAATTTACAAGTTCTTTGTAATATAATTTGCACAAGTTCTTACGTAAGTTTCGTATTTACGTGAAATAAAATACTATAATGAGAATAAATAGATAGTCAAGAATCAATTAAGATTTTGAACGATATTCTTTGTATTAGAAATATTCCTTATATTTTATTCAATATAAATGTTTTGTGTATATATATATATATATATATAATTAAAAATTTGAACATTTGAATAAAATTTCTATGATATTTTGTGTAATAATTTTTTTTCTTGATAATAAATTTAGCAATAGTATTCTTTTATTTTTGACGATTTTATTATTAAAATTATTA